TGGGGGTCCTGCCTGTCGCCCTTCCTCCCTCAGCCTAGGCTACCCCCCAAAGCCCATCAGACCAGGCCAGGCCAAGCTGCCTGTGGGACTCCTGTGTCCAGCTGGGACCAGACAGCATGGGTACCACTGTTCCCTTCTCTTTCTCAGGGCTCCTGGGGTTCTACAGGGCAGAACATAACACCACTCCAACCCCACCCTCACCCCCAGCTAAAGGCTTGAATTTTCCTCTATCTCTCTACCTCTTCCCCCCCCCCCCCCCCCCCCAGGAAGGAGATGGGGTCAGCATTCTATGGTACAAAGAGGTGGCTGACCAGCCAGCTGCCTGCTGGCCGTGTGACCTTGGGCAAATCTCTCAGCCTGTTTTTGCTTCTAAAATAAGGGTCATCATTCCTGGGCTCCCTGGGTTAGCATTATGTGTGTGTATGTATATATGTGTATGTATACACACATACATGCATATGTATTATATACATATGTGTATATACAATGATTCCATATAATTATATAATCATAATTCCTGGACCGGGAAATGAGTAGGGAGAAGAAGTACTTTATCAGCCTCATCTTGTTCTTGGAAGGAGCCGAGCCTGGCCTGAGAATTCTGGTCCCTGGGGCAAATTGGGTTGGGGGTGGGGCTAGTGACCTGACTCTCCTTTGTGGAACAGTGGGGGATTGGAGACCTAGAGCTGGGAGCCAGGGTGTATGTGTGGATGGGGTGGGAGACGGTGTGTGTGTGTGGCTGGGGAGGGGGGGAGGGGGGGTTGGGGGGGTGGGGGTGGCCCTAGGATGGAGAAGGCTCAAGTGTGAACCAGGCACTGACTACACTTAGGGGAGAGGAAGGCCAGCAGAGTGTGACCCAGAAAAAGGCAATGAGGAGGGCAGAAACTGAAAAAGGTGTAAGGGGGAGAATGTGGTAAACTTCTTTTACTGAGAGGCCCTCTGGGACTCTTCTCTCCCTGCTGGCTTCCCCAGCCTCCGGGCTGAGAGCAGGGGAGGCCAGGAGGCTGAGCCAGGATGGTAGTCCTACTCTACTCCCTGGAAACCTGAAGACTATTGAATCCTGGAAAGAGAAAAAGAAAAAGCAGGGCAGGGGACTCTGATCTGCCTGCTGGTCCTGGGGGCTCAAGAGCCCCGGAAAAGCCTTCCAGGTAGGGAGGATGTAAAACAATTCCCAGAGATCAAATCCTGTAGAAAGGAGGGAGAGTCAGTGACCATGCTCTGTTCAGGTTAGCCACCCCCTTTGCCCCCTTTGCTCTGGGTCAGGACTCAGGATGTAGCTGGCATTAGTCAACAAACATTGATTAAGCACCTCCTATACTTTAGACACTATACTGAGTGCCGAGGATACAGAGGTAGAAGTCCCTGCTCTCAAGGAGATGGGGGAGAGAAAATGCAAACAAATATGGCCAGACAAGGTATAGATGGAATGAATTAGGAGTATTCAACAGAGAGGAGGCTTTAGCATTAAGGGGGATTGGGAAAGGCTTCCTATAGAAGGTACAGATTTTGGTTGGCCCTTTAAGCAAGTCAGAGGTGGAAATTAGGAAAAAGAATTCCAGGTCTGGGGGACAGCCAGGGAAAATTCCTAGAGTCAGAGATGGAGGGTGTTGTTTGAGGAATAGCAGGAGACCAGTATCTGTGGGGAGTTACTAGGGCATGGGGATGTCCAACGTGTCAGAAGATAAGAAAGGTAGGATGTTCCAGGTTAGGGAGGGCTTAAAAAGCCAAACAGGATTTTAAATTTGATTCTAGAGGTGATGAGGAGTCACTGGAGTTTAACTGATTGGGGCGGGGGGGGGTGTGTCATGGTCAGATGTGCTTTAGGAAGATCACTTTGACAGCTGAGTGGAGGATGGTCTGGAGTGAGGAGGGTTTGTAGACCCTGCAGCAGCTGGTGCAGTAATCCAGGTGTGAGCTGTCCAGTGTCTGCATCCAGCAGTGTCAGAGGAGAGAAGGGGGGCCTGTGTGAGAGCTGTTATGAAGGTAAACTTGACAAGACTCAGAAATAGTTGGGGGGTGGGGATAGAGAATGGTACCCAGGCTGGGTGTTTGGAGGATGGGGAGAACGGTGGTTCCCTCCACAGTATTAGAGAAGTTAGGAAAAGGGAAGGTTTGGGGGGAAGAGATGAGTTAAGTTTTGGAAATGTTGAGTCTAAGATGTTTATAAGACATTCAGTTTCAAATGTCTGATGGGTAGTTGAAGTTGCAAGACTAGAAGTCAAGAGAAAGGTTACAGGTTGTGGTCTGGAATCGTCTGCTTGGAAATGAGAGGTGAAACCGGAAGCTGCTGATGCCACCAAGTTAAATAGGGGGGAGGGAGAAGAGAAGAGGGAGAGAACCTCGAGAGACACCTGTGGGTAGTGGGTGTGACCTACATGAAGATCCAGCCAAGGAGACAGGAGGAGCAGTCAGAGAGGTAGGAAGAGAATGAGGGGGTGTGTGTCCTGAAAACTGGAAGAAAGGAGAGTTTCAAGGAGGAGAGAGTGATCCACAGTGTCAACGGTTGCAGACAGATCAAGGAGAATTCGGATTGAGAAAAGCCCATTGGAGTTAGCAATTAGGAGATCATTGGTAACTGGAGAGACACTTGATTTTCCCTAGGATTCGATGAAGGCTGATTTCCAGTGCCGCCTCTTACTTGCATCTCATTTGCTAGTCAGCAGTTCCCTCGGAAATTCCCATGTGTCTATCTTTGTTTTTCCAGCAGAATGTGAGCTCTTTCAGGGCAGCAACCTTCATTTAGGTTTTGTGTACTCTGGTCCCTCTGCAATGAGAGCTCTTGTTTGATTGAAATGAATTGGGGCTTGGAAAGGGAAGATGGTTCTTGGTTTGTGTGACCTCAGTTGGGTTCCTTTCCCTCTCTGGGCCTGTTTCCTTATCAGTACCAAGAATACTAAAGGGTTTCTAAGGTGTCTTCTAGCTCTAAATCAAGGGTAACATGAATGAGTTTATGAATGCAGGGCATATAAAACAAGACACAAGGAAAGAAGCCCATTGTAGAGGAAAAGGGTGCTAGTGTCGGGGATGGGCTGAGGTGGGAGGTAATGCCTTCATAGACCTGCTACGCGCACGTAGATAAGGAGGTAATCAGCCAAGGTAATGTACTGGGAAGGGGAGGGCCCTAGCAGTTGGGGGGGGGGGGGGGGGGGTCCAGGGGTGGCCTTCGGAGTAAGGCACAGGCTGAGAAAGGTCAAAGCTGGAGGGTTTCTCAGCCAGCTAAGCCTTGGGATTTAGGGCCCCTTAGCAACACTAGCCTTCTGAGGCCACATACCCCCTTCTCCCTCTCCCCCTTCCCCAGGGCATAGCTGATCTGGGTGAGGCACTGGGGAAGGGACCGAGCAGGGGAGGAAGAATCAGACTGGTTGGAGCAGATGGAGTGCCATCTTCTGACCCTGTGTGTGACTCTGGGGAGGTCATTTCACCTTCGAGTTCAGAGCAGCTCTGATTCTAGGTCGCAGCCCCAGGGGCCAAGCTGGCTGGTGGCTCCCTAGACCAGTGAAATAACTGGTCGCCTTTGGCTGAGGGGCCAGAGTCCTGAGCAGAGGGGATTAGCTGTCTAGAGGTCATCTCGCCCCAGGCTAGTCAGGAGGAAAACCTTCCCCACCCTGAGAGCTGTCCTAGGTCCCCCGTGAGGGAGTGAGTTCCCCGTCCTTGGAGGTTTTCCTGTGGGGGGAGGAGTGGTCACTCCTCCCGGAAGCTGTGGAGGGGAGCCTCAGCCAGGCCGGGGTTGGACGACATGCTGGGGGAGGCAGTGCCAATGTGCAGTCTCTCGTCCCCAGGACAGAAGGATCAACTACGGCTCGGTGGACTCTGAGGGCCTGGGGGGCTGTGCTGGGGGGCAGCCCGTCTGGGAGGGGTTTGTACAGCGCGCATTGGAGACCGAGGCTCCGAGAGCCAAGCACCACTCAGTGAGCCTATGGCTAACTCCATGTGGGGTCTGATGGGGAAAGGGTGGGGGGAGGGGGCACATGGAGGGAAGAGGGGGTCTGACCTAGTGCACGCAGCCCCTCTCCTCTGAGCCCATGGGGGGTTGGGGAAACTGAGGTAGCAGGGGCCAAAGGGAAAAGCAGGCAGGCAGGTCCAGGGATAAATGGGGAGATTAAAGGGGGGAATCGAGGCAAGGCAAGCAGGGGGCCAATTATGAAAACCGAGACAGGGAGAATGTGAGGATGAATGGGAAAATGAGGAGTGGGTGTGAGTGAATGGGGAAACTGAGGCAAGGAAAACTGGGGCTCTATTAAGGAAACCGAGCCAGGGTGAACGGGGAAAGGGAGGCAGGGGAGCGGGGGCGAGGCAGTGGGGTTGCGCTCCCTCCCCCCGCCCCGCCTGGAGCCACGGCCCCCTCCCTCATCCTCTTCTCCCCCCCCTCCGCCCGCATCTCCCACGACCTCACTCTGTCATTGGCTGTCCACCCGGCTCGACCCGCCCCACCCCCACATACCGATTGGCCCCAGCGCCGTCTGGGCCCGCCCCCTCGCCCGCGGGCCGGGGTCGCGGCTCCCCATTGGCCAGGGCGGCCCCGCCCCCGCCCGTGGCCCCGCCCCTGGCGCTGTGAGGCCGAGGCTGCGTCCCCGCCATGGCGGCTCCCGCGGAACCCCCCGCGCCGGAGCCCGAGGCCGGGCCCGACTCCGCGCCCGCCGGCTCCGCGCCCACCCAGCCCCACGCCGCTGAGCCCGCCCCCCGGTAAGAGCGCGTCCCCGCCCCGCCGCGCGCCGCGCACGCCCGTAGCTAACGGTCCTGGCGCGCGCCCCCGGCCCGTGACCGTGACCCGCCTGTGACCGTGACCGCGCCGGCCGCCCCGGCCGCCCCCTCCGCCGCGGGGACAGGGAGAGGGGCGGGGAGAGGACCCGGCGCGGGGGCCACGCCCGTGGCCGCGGCTGTGTCCGGAGCGGGCCTGGCGGGAGCGGAGGTCTTCAGTGGGGGGCCCCAGGGCTCTGCCGCGGGCGGCCGCGCTCACGCTCGCGCTCCTCCCCCACCTCCTCCCGGCAGGGGCTCCCCATTGCCGCCAGGCCCCGGCCACGTCCCAGCTCCTCCCTCCGAGAAGCCCTTCCAGCCGGCTGCAGACCCTCCGTCCATCCCGCCCTCCGCCCCTTCCAGCCAAACTGACCTTGGTGTCGTCCCTGGGCTGAACCCACCATCTCCCCTCCCCGTGCCTTGGCCCTCGCCGACCGCCGTGTCCCCCACTTCCCTGCCGGCCCCTGGCGGCGTCTGACGCTTACTCTGTGCCTTTGAGAGCCGGGGGGACCAGGAGGGTGCAATGCCTCGTCCAGCGCCCGCGGCCCCCAACTCGTACTAGACTGTCAGCCCGTAGAGGGCAGAGCCCAGAGCCTGGCACACAGTAGGCGCCCAGTGCATGCCTGGGCACATGGAACTCCAGCATCCTCCAGGGCAGCTCCTGCAGCCTGGGCTAAGGCTCTGGTTACAGCAGAGTTTGTGCACTTTGCAGAAGCCCTCCAGCAACAGGGAGCTCATTACCTCCAGGGACCCCTGCCCTGCACACCTGGTGACAGTTCTAGAACCCAGGGGATCCAGGCCTCTCCCACTGCAATGCTGTCTCGCTGTTCTCTTCCCCTGAGTGCTAATACCCATCCCCTGAGGGGAGACTGGAAGGGAGAATGTGCCAGACCTGGGGGGGCAAAGGCTCATGCTGTGGATGGGGAGCTAACTTCGAAGAGGCCAGTTTGGGGAGGTGCTTGAGTGCACCCAGGGGCTTGGAAGGTGTTGGATTCCTGAGGGAGTCGGGAGGTGGTAAGCCTTGGGCTTTGCAGTTGGCAGAGCTGTCAGGAGGGCCAGAGCTAGGGGGGGTCACATGAGTAGAGAGGGAGGGATGGATGCCAGAGAGGTGGGGGAGGCAGGCGTGACCCGTCAGGAGACAATGACTCAAGCTGTGTGTATATCATTGCTTAGCAAGAAGATCCACATCATTCAGGAACTCCCAGTCTAACGGGGAAGGGGAGAGAGCCCCTGGACCTGGGGGTACAGTGGCCAACCAGATGACCTGGCATTGTCTTTGATGACAAAATCACATCTGTTTCTGATGTCAAACTCTTTCCTTTCTGGGTCTTCACTGGCTGCCACCCATAGGGCAGGCAGGGCAGCCTGGCTGAGGCAGTAAGACCCTTCTAAGGGTGAGGTGGGGCAGCAGGCCAGGCAGGTGAGGCACCAGCATTCCCCAGACCATGACGGGGACAGTTCAGGACCCTGGGCCCAAGAGCCTTGGAAATAGCAGCGCCCCCCAGACCACCAGACTGTGTCCAGCCCATTAAGGGAGAAATCACTGAAGAGAAGGGACCCACCTTCCTCCTCACTACCAGCTGCCACCATAGGCAGATAGACATAGGAACCCAAGGAGAGGCAGTACCCCCAGACCCCCAGTCTGGTGTGCTGCCCAGCCCTTATAACCATCATCCAGGGAGGCAGCTCCTATGGAGAGGGTGCCGGCTATCTTTACCACCTGCCACCAAATGCCATCCCCAGGGCAGGCGGGCCAGTCTGATTGAAGAGCTGGGCACCCTGAGGGAGAGAGGGGAAGTAACATGGGCCAGGCAAGTCAGTCACCAGCACCACTTTGACCATCTCTCCTCGGGCCCCAAGAGCCTTGAGAGGAGAGTGCTTCCTGCCTACTGCCCACAGCCATCCCTTTGTGGAGATGCAGCCTGGCAGGTGCCAGGTCTAAAGACCCAGAAAGGAAAGTTCTTGTCACCAGAGTCCTTGGCCCTGTCAGATGGCTCAGCATCAGAAACCGATGTCATTTTATTGGTGGAAATGACACTAAGAAGAGACCTGACCCTCTGCTTGGCCACTGCCCGCCAAGAACGAAGGGACCGTTTTGTCTGACGTGCAGCTGAAACCTTCCCTGGGGTTGTCTCCCCCATTAGACTGGGAGCTCCTAGGGGGCAGGAATCTTGCTTTTCTATATGTATCCCCAGCACTTAGCACACAGTAAGTGCGTAACAAATGCTCTCTTCTTTCATTCACTGATT